CTCTCCTTTCTCCCACTCCTAGTCACTCGTCTCCCCTTTCCTCCCACTCCCTCTCCTATCCCTCCCTCCCCCTTCCTCTGCGCCAATTCCCTACCCACTCCACCCCCCCCTCCTTCAATCGTTCTCCTCTCCCTTCCCCATTCTCCTTCCTACTTAGTAGTTCTCAACCCATCCCCCTTCCCTATCTGATCTTCTACCCTCTCCTCAACTCCTTCCCCTCCTGCTCTGCTCTGCTCTCCTCCCCCACTCCCCATCGGATCGCCATCCACTCCCACTTCCCCCCAACTCATCTCTTTACTCCCCTCTCCCAACTCCCCCCACGTTGATTTTCCTCCCCTCCCCCCTTCCCTACTCCCTCAGTCGATCCCCCTTCCCTTACCCCTCTTTTAGCCGATCTCACTCCCCCTCCTGTTCTCTACCCATGGTCGATCCCCCCGACCCTTCTCTACTCTACTCCCCAATCAATCCCCAAAGTCTCTACTCTACTCTCCCAGTCGATCCCAACCTTCTCTACGCAACTCCCCCCCAATCCTACCCCCCCCCATTCGATCCCGACCCTTTTCTACTCCACTCCCCCAATCGATCCCCCAATTCTCTACTCTACTCCCCAGTCGTCCAACCCTTCTCCACACTACTCCCCCACTCCACCCCCCTCGATCCGGACCCTTCTCTCCTCTACTCCCCCCAGTCGACTCACCTCCCCCCTACACCCCGCCCCCCTTAGTCACTACCCCCACCCCCCCGACTCCCCACCCACCCCGCCCCCTTAGTCGACTCCCCCACCCCATCCCACCCCCTTAGTCGACTCCCCCACCCCACCCCACCCCGCCCCGCCCCCTGCTTGCGCCGAGCGGTATTCCGAGCATCCACTTTAAAGCATATACGCCTTCGCTACAAAATTCAAAGGATAATCTAGAGACTGGGGAACTTTTTTCCCCTCTCTTTTCTCTCCTCCTCTCTCTCTCTCTCTCTCTCTCTCTCTCTCTCTCTCTCTCTCTCTCTCTCCTCTCTCTTCTCTCTTCTCTCTCTCTCTCTCTCTCTCTCTCTCTCTCTCGTCTCTCTTCTCTCTTCTCTCTTCTCTCTTTCTCTCTCTCTCTTCTCTCTCTCTCTCTCTCTCTCTTCTTCTCTCTTCTTCTCTCTCTCCCTCTCTCTCTCCTCTCTCTCTCTCTCCTCTCTCTCTCTCTCTCTCTCTCTCTCTCTTTCTCTCTCTTCTCTCTCCTCTCTCTCTCCTCTCTCTCTCTCTCTCTGGTTCTCTCTTCTCTCTCTCTCTCTCTTCTCTCTCCCTCTCCCTCTCCCTCTCCCTCCTCTCCCTCTCCCTCGCCCTCCCTCTCGTATTCGCTTATTTTCCTCTTCTTTCTTCTAGTACTTATTCGTTGTTTCTTTAACGATTCTGTTTTTTACTCTTTTTCAAATTTCATTCGCATTATCATTCATCTTTTCACTTTTAGAATGTATTTTTTTTTCTTTTTCTCTCCCCCTCCATTGACACTATGAATCCCGGTTCCTTTATTTTTCTCTCTCTCTCCCTCTCTCTTTTTCTCTTTCTCTCTCTCTCTTTCCCTATTTCCCTCCCTCTTCTTCCTCTACAACTCTCTTCTCTCTTTCTCTCCCTCCCTTTCCCCTTTTCCCTCTCCATCTCTCCCTCCCCCTCTTCCCCCTCCCCCTCCTCCACCCTCCCCCACCAACCCACCATACAACCCCTTCCCCCCCCCTAAAAAAAAAATAATAATCATAATAAAATAAAAAATCGGAACAAGCAAATGAAGGAATAAAAGAAGGGAATAACAACAAACCGAAGAAAACAAAGCGCCGCGTTCTGTTCTCGCGCACGTGGAGTGTGTGTCAATACGTTCAAACTTTCTAAAGGATGTTCTTTGCCTAAAGGTTGTTCTCTCTTGCCTTCGGGGGGGTCTCTTGGGATGCGCTGACCCCCCCCCTTCCCCCTTCCCCCTCCACACCCCTCCCTACTCTCTCTTACCGACCCTATCTCCTACTCCCCCACCCCTTTCCCTCGCCCCCTCTTTACTCTTACTCGCCACCCGCCCCCGCTTCCCCTTCCTCCCTCTCTACTCTCTTACCCAACCCCCATCTCCTACCCCCCTCCCTACTCTCTTCCTACCCCATCTCCTACCCCCCCATCCCTTCCCCCTCTCTACTCCTTACCCCCTCTTACCCCATCTCCTACCCCCCCCTCTCCCCCCTCTCTCTTCCTTACCCAACCCCCATCTCCTACCCCCCTCCTCTCCCCCTCTCTACTCCCTTACCCTATCCCCATCTCCTACCCCCCCTCCCTCCCCCATCTTATTTTTCCTCACACCCTTTCCAAAGGATTCGTGAGTGGAGAGGGGGGAGGGGGGGTTCTCGGATCTCCCCTTTCCTACTCCACCTCCTTCTTTTTATTCTATTTGTTAATTTTCCTTCATTTTATTCTATTTGTTAATTTTCCTTCTTTTTATTACATTTGTTTATTCTCCTTCTTTTTATTATATTTGTTAATTTTCCCTCTTTCTTTCATTCTGTGTCCTTAACTTCTTTTTCCTCTAACAGTCTTTCTTCTTCCTCGTTGTCTAATTTTCCTTATTCATCTTTCCATTTTACCTATTTTCCTGCTTCGCCGTCGTCTTCCTCTTCATCTCTTTTTCGTCTTCTTCTCGTCTTCTTCTTCTTCTCTTCCTCTTCCTCCTCCTTTCTTCTTCTTCCAGGTGGCAATCCGCACCTGAATAAAAATCTTGATTTCTATCTATCGTCTTCATCCTCCGCCCAAACGGCGCCGGAAACAAAGCCTCCCCGGGGGTTGCGTCCTCTCCGATGCAGGTCTTGCGGGGCCGAGGAAAGGCATCCCACACGCACTCACACATTCCCACACACGCACTCACACATCCACACGCGCACGCACTCACACATTCCCACACGCGCACCACTCACACATTCCACACGCATACTTCCACAGACACTCACATTCCCACATGAACACGCACTCACACATCACACGCACTCACACATTCCCAAACGCACACGCACTCACACATTCCCACATGTACACGCACTCACACAAACGAGATTTGACCATATATGTATAAACTAAAACACACATGAGCATGCACACGCGCGCGTGGCTGCAAACACATACACACAAACGCAGACGTGCGCGTACGCTTGTACGTACGCACACACAAACACACACACATACGCACACAGGAACTAGAACACAAAACACTAAAACACGATTCACAAATACGCGCACTCCAAGCCTTCCATCAAACGATTCCACAATTATTCTGAACTCTGTAAGCGAAGATTCCTTTCTTCGTTTCAAAAAAATCCTATCGACATGGTTACCCCACCCTCCCCCTACCCATCCACCCGTCCTAAAGCCTCTCATCCCCCCAAGCTAGTGCCCCCCTCACAAAAAGTAGCGCACCCAGCACCCCCCCCCCTCGATACAGTGACCACCCAAATGCAACAACCCCACCCCCATTGCAACCTCCAACCCCCTTATCAGAATATCGCCCCTCCCAAGGCAGTGCCCCCCCCCCATGCAGGTCCCCCACTCCCAAATGCAACACCCGAACCCCTTAATGGTAGCGCCCCCCCCACCCCCACCCCCTTTTTTCCTATATATATTTTTTTTCTAGAAATAGATCCATGAATACTCAACTTTGCACGTTCAAAATCATACTTACAATAATACACAAGTTGGAGGTTTGTTTTTCAACTATTTATTCAATATATATACAGAGGGAGAAAGAGAGGAAGCAAGAAAGAAAAAGAAGAGAAAGAGAAAGAGAGAGAGAGAGAGAGAGGAGAGAGAGAGAGAGAGAGAGAGAGAGAGAGAGAGAGAGAGAGAGAGAGAGAGAGAGAGAGAGAGAGAGAGAGAGAGAGAGAGAGGGGGGGGGAAGAGAATAGTAGAGGAGATTGAGGGAGAGAGAGGAAAAGAGAACAGTACAGAGAGAAGAGAAGAGAAAGATATAAAAAAGAAGGAATCGAGGAGAGAACGAATGATAACCCAAAAACAACTAATGAAGTTTTGAAGCCGGTAAAGGGGGGGATACGGAAGACCTAAGCACAGGGAGGGAGAGGGGGGGGTTACGAGAAACCTAGAGAGAGAATAGGAGGGGGAGGGAGAAGGAGGGAAGGGAGGGGAAGGGAGGAAAGGGAAGGGGAGGGGAGGGGAAGAGAGAAAGGAAAGGGGGAGGGGAGGGGAAAAGAGAAGGGAAGGGAAGGAAAGGGAGTGGAGGGGAGTCGAGGAGGGAGAGGAGGAGAGAAGGAGGGAAGAAGAGGAGGAGAGAAAAGGGAGAGAAACGGAGGCGAGAAGGTAGGGAAAGGGAGGAGAGAAGGGAGGGGCGGAGGGGTAGGGGGCAATAAACCCCACCGGAGATATCGCTTTATATCGTCCCGTTATCGCTTTATGGCTTGTAAATTACACCCTGTCAACCGGCCCGTCCCTCCCGGCGGCGACTGTCAACAAAACACACCACTTCGGCAGCCCGTCGCTCACTCTCGCTCTCTCTCTCTCTCTCTCTCTCTCTCTCTCTCTCTCTCTCTCTCTCTCTCTCTCTCTCTCTCTCTCTCTCTCTCTCTCTCTCTCTCTCTCTCTCTCTCTCTCTCTCTCTCTCTCTCTCTCTCTCTCTCTGATTTTCTGTCTGTCTTTCTCTCTGTCTCTATCTCATCTCGTTCTCGCTCTCTCCCTCGCTGTATATATCTCTCTCTCTTTCTGTTTTTTTCTCTCCGTCTCTGTATCATATCGTAAACATCGCCCGCTTCGCTCTCTCTCTCTCTTCTCTCTCTCTCTCTCTCTCTCTCTCTCTCTTCTCTCTCTCTCTCTCTCTCTCTCTCTCTCTCTCTCTCTCTCTCTCTCTCTCTCTCTCTGTTTTTTCTGTCTGTCTTTCTCTCCGTCTCCGCCTCTGTCTCATCACTTTTTATGCCTTGTCGCTCGTTCTCGCTTTCGCCCTATCTCTCCTTCTTTTTGTCTCTGTTTGGTTTTCTTTATCTATCGCTTTATGTCTGCTTTCCTCCCTCTTCCTCTCTCTCTTTCTCATCCTCACTCTCTATCTCACTCCTCCTCTCTCAACCTCAAACTCACCCTCAACCCATCCTCACTCTCTACCTCACCCTCCTCACTTCCTCTCTCTCCTCCTCCCCTCTCTCTCTTTCCCTCTCTTCCCCCCCCGCTTCCCCTCCCTCTCCTCTTAACCCCCTTATCTCCCCCCCCTTCCCTCCCCCCCCCCATACCGATAACCTCTTAAACCCGCTTCTTTATTCCAAATCCACCTCACGACCTCATAATTTACGACTCATTTCCAGTAGTTATAAATCCGTCTAAGACTATGGGCCTGTAGGTAGGGGATGGGGGGGGGGGGTAAGGGGTAAGAAGTGGGGAGGGGTATAGGGAAGGAGTGGGGAGGGGGAAGGGAGAAAGAGAGGTAGAGGGAGGGGAGGTAGAGGAGGGGGAAAGGGGGAGGGGAGGTAGAAGGGTGGGTAGAGGGAGGGTAGAAGGGAGGTAGAGGGAGAAGGGAAGGGGAGGGAGGTAGAAGGAGTGGGGAAAGGGAGGTAGAGGGGAGGGGAGAAGGGGGGGAGGGGGGAGGGAGGGGAGGTAGAAACGGAGGGAGAGAGAGGTAGAGGGAGGGGAGGGAGAAGAGGAGGTAGAGGGAAGGGGGAAAGGGGGGGGTAGAGGGCGGGGAGGGGGGAAATGGGTGGAAGGAGGATAAATAGGAAATTAAGGTATCGCCGTTAGAAATTTTTAGGTAAATGACAATTAAATACATAATCGTAGAAATGGGATGATAATGCAAATAACATAAACAACACAATATAAACATAAAATTATATAAAAAATAGAATGAACAATATTAACAAAACAATATAAGCACATAACAAATAAAATCAATACAAACAATAAAATAACAATGAATAAAAAAATACCAATAATAAAAAAAAAACGAAATATAAATAACAAAAAAAATCATAAATAAATAACATCAATCACAAATTAAAAAATATCAAAGAAGTGTAATTATCAACTAATCACAAATAAACACACAAAAAATCCACAGAAAAAAAGGTTTAAAAATTGAAAAAAATACACAGCCAAACCACAGGTCAGGGAGGTGCTGCTGAGGGGGTCAAAGGTCAGCCCGGGAAGGAGTTCCTTGGGAATGTTTCGTGTGTGTGTGTGGGTGTTGTGTGTGTGTTTGTGTGTACATCTATTTCTTTTATTTTTTATTATTTATATTTATTACTTATTATTTTATTATATTTTTTTTCTGGGGGGGGGTAACATTATTGTCGTATCATTACTGTTATCATTATAATTAATATTATTGCTGCTTTTATTACCATTATCATCATCATTATCCTTATTACAATCATCACTATCACTATCATTATTACTATTATCATTATCATCATTACATTTTTTAATCAGAATTATTACTACTACTATCACAATTATTACTATTACCATAATGATTATTATCCTCATTATCATCATTCTCTTTACATCATTTAGGAGCCAATTTCCAACTAGTATTAAACTGCACACGGAAAAGCCATTACAGAAAAAAAAATAACATAAGGAAAGATTTTACTTTCAAACACATACTGATAACTAAGAAAAAAAAAAAAAAAAAAAAAATGAAAAAATACCAAGAAAAAATGACACGTTAAAATAAAATATAAAAGCCAGGAAAAAGGCTTACAAAATGCTCCGTTTCCTTCGATCTTATTCTGAATCAAAATCATCGCCCACCTGATAATCAGCTGACACTTCGGAGAAAATGAACCACGGTACCTAAAAAGAGAGAAAGAAAAACACATTACTCGACGTTGCAGCTGACAAAAAAGGTACGTAAAGATAATAATAATGATACGTGAAACAAAGAATACACACACACATATATATATATGTATGCATATGTATATATGTATATATATATATATATATATATATATATATATATATATATTATATATATATATATATATATATTATATATATATAATATATATATATTATATATTATATATATATTATACATATTATTATATATATATATATATTATATAATATATATATATATATACATATTAATATATATATATATATATATATATATATATATATATATATATTATTATATATATATATATATATATATATATATATATATATTATATATATATATATATATATATATTAATATATATATATATATAATATATATATATTATTATACTACTACTACTACAACTACAAATGGTGATGATGATGATGATACCAATAATAATAACAATAACAATCATGACATTGACAACAATAGTAATCATAACAATAATGGTAAATATAATTATCATTATTGCTATTGTTGCTATAACCATTATCAATACTATCTTATATCACATTAGCATCACCATCACTATTATCAACATTAAAACATGTCATTAGTAATACTATCATTATTATCATTACTACTTGCTTGTGTCGCAGATATTATATAATATACCGAACACAAATAAGCCCATTAAAATAAGTCATCCATAACAATAACAATAATAATGATAATAACTAAAAACAAATAAATATGAATCAAACGAAATATTCCACTTAACATATTTCACATCCGTCACCCACCTGTATTCTCGAATCCACCTGTCTGCTCGAATCCTCCTTCAATCCGGACCGAAGTGAACCGAATGGAACCGTAAAAGGAACCGATGAGTCACCGCTCACTAACCGAACGAAACCCGCTCGTCTTATCCGGATCCGTTCGCCGTATCCGAATAAATCCAGAAGAGACTAGTATTTCTCTAGACCCTCTTCGGTATCCGAATCCGTTCGCCGTATCCGAATAAATCCGTAAGTGAAAAAGTACTTCTCTAAACTCTCCTCGATATCCGAATACACTCTCCGTATCCGAATAAATCCATAAGTGAAAAAGTACTTCTCTAAACTCCCTTCGATATCCGAATACACTCGCCTTATCCGAATAAATCCGTACGTGAAAAAGTACTTCTCTAAACTCTCCTCGATATCCGAATCCACTCGCCGTATCCGAATAAATCCAGGAGACAAGAATTTCTCTAAACCCTCCTCGGTATCCGAATCCGCTCCCCGTATCCGAACAGAGGTCGAACAGCCTTCCCCCGCTCGGCCCGAACACCGGCTGGGCGAGATCGACTTTCCTTCCGAAGCTCCGAAGCCCGAGGCCCGCTATCCGCACTCCCAATCATTCAATCCGGACTGTCCCGAGGAGAGGCAGGTCACTTGCTAATATATTGTTCTGTACCCTGTCTCGCCCCCTCCCTCCCTCCCCTCCTCCCACCCCCTCCCCTCTTCCACCCCCTGCTCCAACCTCCCCTCTCTCCCACCCCCTGCCCCAACCTCCCCCGATCATATTTGGCTCCCCCACCCCCCCACCCCCACCCACATGACTCCACCCTGGGCACCAATAGCCTCATTCGTGTTCCTCTCTCCTCCCCTCACTCCTCCTACTCCCAAGTGACCCTCCGCTCCCTTCTCCTCCCCTAAACCCTTCCTACTCCACATGAACTTCCCCTCCTTCCACTTCCCTCACCTCCCCACCTTTACCTCCTCCCCTCCCTTTCCCCTCCCCTCCCCCTCCTCCCTAACCCCATCTTAACCTCCCTCCCCTCAATTCCCCTCACTCCTCCTACTCCCACCTTTACCTCCCTCCCCTCCCCTTCCCCCTCCCCTCGCCTCTCCTACCCCATCTTAACCTCTCCCCTTCCCTTCGCCTCTCTTACTCCCACCTTACCTTTCACTCCCCTCACCCCTCCTCCTCCCACCTCAACCTCCCTTCCCCCTCTCCCGTATCCCTTAGTCAATGTCCACTACCGCCCTCACTTCCCCCTTCCCATCTGTACCCCCTTACCCTCGCTTCTCTCTTCTCTCTCCCCCTGACTACCCCTTCGCTTCTCCCTTCCCATCTCTACCCCTCACACTCGCTTCTCTCTTCTCCCCCTCTTCCCTTCTCCCTCCTTCCAACTCTTCCATTTACCCCCCCCCCCTTCTCCCTTCATTCCTTCCTTGTCTTCTTTTTATGCCCATTCTTGCTCCCTTTCCCTACTTTCATCCTTCCTCTTACGCCATACTCCTTTCCCTATTTCCCTTCACTTTTATACACCCTTCCCTTAATAAATATTTTCCTTGGTCCATTTCCTTCTTCCCCTACCCTACACTACCTCCATCCCTCCCACTTACCCCCTCCATTTACCCCATACTCCCTCCCACCTTCATTAAACCCTTTTCCCTTACCCTCTCTTACCCTACCCTATCCTACCCTCCCCTTCCACTTATCCATATTCCATATGCCCTTCATCCCTCCTTCCCCTTAAATTCCTACCATACCCCCTCCCTCATCAAACCCTTTCTCCTTACCCTGCCTTACCCTCCCTCCCCCCGTTACCCTCCTTTATACTCCCTCCATTTTCCCCACACTCCCTCCCTTAACTCCACATACCCTTAACTTCCTTCCCTCCCCCTCATTATACCCCCTCCAACTTACCCCCACCCTCCCTCCCTCTTTCCCACCCAACCCACCCGTCCACCAACAACCCCAAATCACTTACACATAAACCCATCCCAACCCACACCCAACACGAAACCCCAATCCCCCAACACGAACCCCAACTCCCAACATATAAACCCCACAAGAAACGTAACCCCGAACAAGATCCCACCGTACGGCCCCAATACAGGGAGTTCCCGTGTAAAATGCAATCACATTTTCCTGCCCACAACATAACCTGTCTATCAGGGGCCCGCGGCTGGTCGATGAGGGAGCGCAGGCCGCGAGGAGTGGACGGCGGGGTTGCGAAGGAGGGAAGGAGGGGAGGAGGGAGGGAAGGAAGGTAAGGAGGGGAGGAGGGGAGGATGGAGGGAGGAGGAAGGTGGGAGGGAGGAGGGAAGGTGGGAAGAAGGAGGGGAGGAGGGAAGGAGGGGAGAAGAGGGAAGGTGGGAAGGAGGGAGGGAGGAGGGAGAGAAGATGGGAAGGAGGGAGAGAGAGAGAGAGAGAGAGAGAGAGAGAGAGAGAGAGAGAGAGAGAGAGAGAGAGAGAGAGAGAGAGAAAGAGATAAGAGGGACAGAGAGAGGGAAAGAGATATGGGGTAGGAGGGAGAGAGGGAGGGAGAGATACAGAGAAAAAAAAATAAAATAGAGATATAAGACGTAGAGGAGACAAATAAAATGTAAGAAATCTGCGAAAAATCGAAGGATCACGTGTCCAAAAAGAGTTAAATCTATATCACGTGACAAATTTCCTTTTTTTCATCATAGAACATTCGAAAGTGATATCAATAAAATAAATGAATGATAAAAATTATATAAAAAAATAAATAAATAAATAAGCGAGAGAAAATGAAGAAAAAAATCTGCGACACTATCACTTTCCATTAACACGACACACACCCCCCCCAACCTCACCTACCCCCTCCCACACCCCCCCCTCCCCCATCCCTACCTGTAACCCCTTCCTCCTTCCTCCCCCACCTCCTATCCCTCCTGTAACCCTCTCTCCCTTCTCCTCCACTCCTATCCTCCTGTAACCCCTCTCTCCCTTCTCCTCCATCTCCTACCCCTCTGTATCCCTCCTCCCTCCTTCACCACCTCCTACCCCTCCTCCCTCCCTCCTTCCCCACCTCCTACACCTCCCCATCCCTCCCCGTAACTCCAACCTCCCCCTTCCCACCCTCCTCCCCACCCCCTCCCCAACCCCTTGCGTGTCGAATCGCATTTGCCTGACTCCCGCTTCATACTCATATGACACCTCACACTTGACCGTGTCAACGCCTGCCCTGCCACACACGCATACACGCACATACATATATTTATTACCTAGTTTCCCCCTC